CACAAGCGGGAATCGAACCCGCAACACGTTGCACAGTAGCCAGTTGTCCAGCTACTACGCTATCTATGCAGTCTCGAAGAGGGGTCTTACCGCTGCAATATCAGCGTGCCCGGGCAGTACTACGCTTGCTTTGTGCTTTACTAAGTAAGTGTGCTTACCCTATCAGTCCTCGCTTTGAAAAGAGCTGACAACGCGTTTAGGACATCTCCAGGTTGTAGCGACTTTTACCTTTGTGGACGTTTTACCTATGTAGTGTAAGTATAACTTGATATTTTGTTACCAATTATGTATTATTGAAGACGGTAAATGGGGCGCCTACTTAAATAGATGACGCGCGCACTCGATAAGTGTAAGTTGTTATGAATGAACGACCACAAACCGTAATCATTGTTGTACCGTGGACCGCAGGCCACGCTACCTGTGTGTAGGCGCGGCGAGTTGCTCAACTTGCTCATTGGAAGTGACGCTGGTGGCCACTTGTCACCAGTTGTGGTGGAGGCCCATCTAATGAGGTGAGAGACTTTTCCTTTACACCCGCCTCAATTACAGATTGCGAGCTATTGCTGAATTTGTAAAAAACAAGTAATCTTATCACTCCGCCCAGTCAGGCTCTTGGACCCAAGATACAAGTTAATTACAGATATCTGCTGTTTACTATGTATAGGACGCTTTGCTCGTGTCAGCTAGTTTTCAGATAAACGAAGTCTTGTAACATCAAGTTACATATGACGCGACTTACATTACTGTATAACCTTTGGACTGGTACCTAGTTCGTGTTATGCAGGTAACAATAACTGATACCAAGAAACAATACAATTAAGTATTTTATTGTAAGTATAATGAATAATAAATTGTAAGCATCAGTGCATGAGGAAAATCGTTACAATTTTTTTATGGTAATGCCTATAAGGAGCAGACAGACCAAAGTGGTAGGCAACTGGCGCCGCAATACTAGGGGAAGTTACAGCAAGTGCGATACAGGAGGTCGCTTCAGGTAGCTTCACTCAAACTGCGAAACACAGCGCAAGAGATGTATCAGGTCGCGCATCGATTATTTATACCCTACCACGTATATAGTCCCACACCACGATTTTTGTCGGAATCCAGAAAATTAAAGAGTAGTTTCGTGAGACATGTTGTAGTACCTAAATAAGAAATGAGAATCTGGTACAATATCGGCTTAACTTCACAAGATGGTGATTATTGACTTGTATTGTACTGCGAACTTCTCATTGTAGATTCGGCGAGGCATGAGGCGAGCTATAAATTACAAGTTGGCGCCGCGGCGAGCAGCACGGCGGTCGCGACCCGCATGCTGATTGGCCGCCGCGCACTACCTGCGTGCTGGCTAGCCTCGCGCCGTGACACCGCCCGCCGCCCTCCTGCAGCCTGCACCTCCTGCACACACACGACGCGATGAGACCCGACTCCTACTCGACATATTATGGTAATATCAGTGATATATTATACTACGAGTGCTACTGCTGTCTGCTGTTATTATTGCCACATGTTTTATTGATCACTACGAGATCTACATAACTTATTATTTTATTTCCCTAGCTCTGACTAATCTTGTCTATATTTTTTAACAATTTGAGCGAAGATTCGCAGTATAAGGATACTCAGGGAAAGGATCTACCTCAATAAGATGCTGGAAGCGATTACGTATTCGTACTTCCAGGATTGCGCCAGTAACCGTGGGATGTCTCTCCTTCCCCAAGCAGTTTAATGTAGGTATGTTACCTCCGTGTCGCTTCGTACTAGCAGCCGTTTCCGGGAGCCCATTATGAGTTTGCCAGTCAGGGGGTGACGCCTGTTTATCTGTATGCCAATAATAGTTAGCGGCAGGAGCCAGAATATTTCGATAGTTATCGAGTCTACTAGCCATACCCATAATCTTGTCAATGTTTACCACATTTCACAACAGTCCTGTGTTAACCGGTGATTGTCCTTGGGTGCACTTCCATGCAAGGAGAGGCGTGCAATGATCGTTGACATAGGCGTCCCACATGACGAGAACCTCGTGAATGGCCAAGAAATATAAGCTAATCAAGTATACCGACTGGCACGCGAGATTGTCGACATGTTTTTTTTTGTTAGGAGAAAATCATCAAATGGCTTGTCCCGCCTTGGGCCGGGCGGGAGGGAGTGTCAGACTCTTACTGACTAAAAACCCCCTGTTCCTTCTCCTGCTCTGGGCCGAGGTCGCGGTCGCGGTGCCTCATTGCGCTTACCCTGCAACCCCGGCTGATGTGATTGTCGACATCTTAGGAGGATCTCCTGGACAAGGCTCGTATTGTCAAAAGTTTCTTTCCTCTGGAGCCCTGACCTCCGTTAGCTAGGTCTGACGATTGTCTGGTCCCCATAGCGGTTGGACACTTTTGAATGTATTATTTTTGTTATTTGAAAAAAAATATTAAAAATATGTAAATTATATCATTAAATATGAAAATTTCGTGTCACGTGTTTGTCCGCGATGGACTCCTAAACTACTAAACCGATTTTAAATTTGATTTACATTCTGCGTGCATTTTGATCCAACTTGAAAGATAGGATAGCTTACATCTCCACTTATAGTCACAATATTATTTATCTTAGCCACAGCAATGCGTGGCTGGGACTGCTAGTATTTATATCTATACGAGTATCTATCTATATTTATAATAAATCTGTAGAGAGGTCAATTCTGTACATGAAATTTATTTTCAAAACAATTATCATCATCCTTATCACCTATAAGGAATCGCCACTGATACCAAAAATGTAAAATAATCTATAAAATTTTTGTCTGTCTGTCTTGGTCTATCTGTTTGTCTGTATGTTCCTTATAGAAACAAAAACTACTTAACAGATTTTAACGAAACTTGGTACAACTATTCGTCATATTCCTGGGCAGATTATAGGATACTTTTCATTACGCTTCAATTAATAGGAGCAGAGCAGTGAAACAACATAAAATTATCTACAAAATATCCCACTACAGTATATGTTTATCTTTTATGGTTGAATCACAATGTCACGTGTAACTCCGGATAGCTTAGCAGTTCGGAGCATTCTGATTATATTTGCTTACTTTTCGTTTAAAATACTTTCACTTATCCCTAATTTAAAAAGTTTACATTAATATATATTGAATAAAAAAGAATCATAGAAATCGGTAGAAACACTAAAGTTATACGTGAAATACGCTAATTAGCCATCGCCCCGTCGCACGTGAACACTGAACCATGCTATAAGGATTATTTTTGTTTAACGGTTGCCGGGCACCCGAGTGTCTTCATTGTGAGGACCACCTTGAGGATACTCTGGCGGTATACGGTGCTTGGGCTGAGCACCGCCGTGTCCTCAGGAAAGTAACCGGCGGCGGCGCCTTTCGCGCCCGGCCTTAGTCGAGGCCATGGTTCGTAGCGAGAGGGACTGGAAAGCCGTCTCCTCGCTCTCCAGTGATTTTCGCAAAGGAGGAGGAGGAGCGCGTGAGGGAACTATCCTCCTCATGCCCCAGCTACCATAGTGGGCGACATTCTGGGCGTCGGGATCGAGAGACGATCTCCGGCCACCGTAAGCGCGGGTCTGCGGACGGTGAGTAAGGGTAACTCGCCGCCCGACCAGAACCCGACTCGAGCGTATGGCGTGTAGCGTTCCGCGCGTGCCTCACAGATGCAATAGACCACCCTAGATGGGGCCCTATTTGGGGCTGATATTTAGCCGGGGTTGCAGGCAAGTGCAAAGAGGCTACGCAGCTTTTTAGTCAGTAAGAGTCTGACACTCCCACTCTTCAAGTCATGCTACTTTTTTACGACAAACAAATATAACGGGGACGAAGTCGCGGTTAAAAGCTAGTAATTAATAAAGGCAATAATAATAACTGCTTTTATATAATTGGTTAAAATGGTTTCCTTAAACTGAAAGTGGGAAAGGCATGTTTCCTGTACGTACATGATTACGTATGATTAGCCATTGTTTGATGAAACGATACAGCAAATAGGTACCTACGCACAGTATGGTATAGGTTTAATTGAATAAAGGGTATAACCTCATCGTCAGTAGCAACATTATTATACCTAACTAACTACTCATAGTTATCACTGTGTTTGTTTGTGGTACTACAACAGCGGAATCAACATTTTATTAATATGTGAAATTAATTCCCACTGACGTCAGTGATGTTACTCAGTTTTTAGACCAACAATTAATAAACGCTAATTTTCCCTGCCTTAAGCGACCTGAGTCACAGAATGCGTCCGTACATAGCGGTTGCAGTGACTGTGTAACCGCACCGCGACGCGTGCCTTGTGGTTGCAATACATAATAATAATCGATTTGGTAAATGTAAAATTACATATGTCTAAATAGATAATAAGCAGTATTAGTCCTAGGAATAGAGTTTGTGTGCAGAGTTAGTGTAAGATTCATAGATTTCAATATATTTTTCTATGAAAAATTTTATGTCGTCTATGCAATGTTCGCCGATCCGCCTTGAGCACGCGTGGTGCTTAATGTTCAAACCTTCTCTGTGTGAGAAGAGGCCATTGCTCAGCAGTGGGCACTTTAAGGCTGATGATGTGATGTGAATATCTCCGAGTAATGGGTGGGACGTCTCTGCTCTGCGTTATCATCATCAGCTTTGTAACTTCTTACGACGATGGAATGAGCATTAATCACCACGTTTTCTCAAAGCGGATTGGGGATTTTAAACTACAAATAATAACTACTTAACCTTTGGACCACCAGGTCACACACGACATGGGTTGGGCAGTTTGCCTATTTATTTACATTTAAGGTACAAATCTGTAAACGGAGGGTTTAAAAACGATTGTTTTTACTGGTGTCAGTGACAAGCAGCACGTTACCGAAGTGTCAGTAGTGTCACCTAGCAGCGAAGGTTTCTGTCCGAAGTAACAAATAAGAACCTTCGACAGTATTTACACCGTGTGACAAATGGTTTGGGCGTGGGGATACACTGCGTCATCTACTTGCTCATTAATTAATGCGGCTATCACATGTCGGGCCCGGAGAAGTTCGCGGTCAACGGTCCGTCTCACCTCTACGGAACCTTACCAACATCGACAGGTAATTTGTGGCCACAATTACTATACTGCATCAATCGAACTCCAATCTAAATGTTTAAAGAAGAATTCGTGTGAGTTATAGTACCATACATTTGATTAAAGAAATATGTTGATTCACTTTTATGATAAAAATATGTGCGTTTGTAATATATGAGAACAACAAAGATATACATCACAAAACACATAAACCAACTACTACATAATGTACTGGAACGATGACGTAGCTGTAATAAGCTGTGTTCGTAGCGCTCGTAGCACTTCGTAGCACCGGCTACGAGATTTCTCTCTCCCTCGTCTTCATCTTTTGCTCTATTTATATGTTGGTGTTTTGACATGGTTCAGTAACAAGCAAGTAAATATTTGTTCCGTGAACTGGTTCTGCCAATGAAGGACTATAATGGTCGCAGTATAAGTATTTTACTATTTGCTTGCTACTAATTAATTGTAAAGGCAAAGTACAGTTTACAAAGTATTATTGTATAAGGGGTCGTTCAACAACTGATGCCGGTGTTGAACTTCTTAATCATATTTACGACGCATGGGAGGACTCAAGCGACGCCTTGGGAATATTTTGTGATTTATCCAAGGCGTTCGATTGTGTGCTTCATGATACACTGATCAGGAAGCTTTCCCATTACGGAATTAGAGGTGCATCTCTGGACCTTCTTACCTCATACCTGAGTAATAGGGTTCAGAGAGTCGAAGTAAACGGAATGGTTTCTGCCGGGTCTGTTGTGAAGATGGGTGTTCCGCAGGGTTCTATTCTCGGCCCGTTTTTATTTCTTATCTATATTAATGACTTGCCTTACCTTGTAAGGGATAAACACGAGATAGTGCTGTTTGCTGATGATACCTCACTATTATTCAAACTCAGACGACGACAATCATTAATTGACAATGTAAACAGTGCTCTCTCAGAAATAGTTCACTGGTTTGGTGTGAATAACTTATTACTAAACGAAACTAAAACTAAATGTATTAAATTCACAACACCAAATGTTAAACAGATAAAAACCAGTGTGCTTGTCAAGGGCGAGGAGTTGAGTCCTGTAGATACAACTGTCTTTTTAGGTATAACCCTGGACGCTAAGCTCCAGTGGGGCCCACATATAGATGGCTTGTCGAAGAAGCTCAGTTCTGCAGCATATGCCGTTAAAAAAATTAGAAATTTAACAGATATAGATACAGCGCGGTTAGTTTATTTTGGTTATTTCCACAGCATCATGTCATACGGTATTTTGTTGTGGGGGAATGCTGCTGACATCCAGTCTATTTTTGTTCTGCAGAAAAGGACTATTCGATCAATCTATAATCTTAGTCCGAGGCATTCGCTCAGAGAATTATTTAAGGAATCTAAAATTGAAGGAGTGTGATACTACGTAGGTACACTCCTTCACAGAGTAGCTCTTGGAAGAAAAATTCATAAAGATATATTATAGGATATTAGTAAAAAACACACTTGGCAGAACACATATTTATTACTTGACGTTCTCTTGTCAACACAAAAAAAGAAAATTCAAAATACTATCATAAAATGCATAGAGATTAAAAAAAGGTTGCAATACTCTTGCTCTAACACTCCTCCTTAATCTCATGCATATGATATGTACACACACATCTTTACTTTATACACGCAATCCCATACCATTCACACACCACTCATACTTGCCTCTGGGGAGAGCCTTGGTCAGAGCATCTGCTACCATCTTATCTGTTTCCCGATACTCCAATTTTATAGCTCCCGACTCAACAGCATTGCGTATAAAATGATATCTCACATCAACATGTTTTGTACGTTGGTGATGTACAGGATTATTGGCTATAGCAATTGCTGACTGGCTGTCTGAGAAAATCCGAATTGTTTCTTCCTGTTTACCAGTCATCTCTGCAATCAGCCTTTTGAGAAAGACAGCTTCTTTTGCAGCTTCTGATAGCGACACGTATTCTGCTTCGGCTGTGCTCATAGCCACCGTTCGTTGTTTCGTGCTTTGCCAAGAAACTGCACCTCCTTGAATAAGGAACACGGAACCTGAATATGAACGTCGATCAGCGTCTCCTGCATAATCGGCATCTGCGTAACCAACAACAACTTCTGGGTATTTTTGTTTGTTGTATGTCAACCCAAGCGTCTTGCTTCCTTTCAGGTAACGGAGGATTCGCTTTGCTACAATCCAATGTTGTTCCTCATAGCATTCATTGAACTGGCTAAGATAATTAACCACATGAGCAATGTCAGGCCTTGTACATACTGCTACATACATGAGCGAACCTATCAGTGCTCGATATGGAATTCTCTCATCTGGTCTCCTTCCATGTGTAGGCTTCTCTAGCCGTTGACCGGGTACTGCTGGTGTAACTACTGGTTTGCAGTCTTCCATATTAAATGCCTTCAGGAGTCCATCAATATACTTCTCCTGATGCAGTTTAATTTTGTTGACATCTTGAACAATATTAATTCCCAGCATTAACTCAGCTTTGCCGAGATCTTTCATATCAAATCTAGACTTCAACTCTTCTTTGAATTTGAACATCTCTTGCTTATTGTTCCAAAATATCAAAATGTCATCTACATACACAGCAATAATCATTATGTTTCCATTCTGTGACCGGGTGTAAGCGCATGGCTCATTTTCAGATCTTCTGAACTTCAGTCTTATAAGTTCAGAGTGAAGCTTTGCGTTCCACGCTCGTGGCGCTTGTTTCAGTCCATACAAAGATTTTTTTAGAAGACAGACATAATTCTCCTTGCCCTTTACCTCGAACCCCTCTGGTTGCTTCATATAGACGATTTCATTTAAGTCTCCATTCAAAAATGCCGTTTTAACGTCCATTTGATCTATGCCTAACTCTAAACGGGCGGCTAAGGCTATTAAGACTCTTAATGAGCTATGTCTGACTACAGGCGAAAAAGTTTCAAAGTAGTCGACTCCTCTCCGTTGGCTGAATCCTCTTGCTACAAGTCGTGCCTTATAACGAGTCTTTCCCCCCGCCTCTTCTTTAATTCGAAATAACCATTTCGAATCAACAATGTTGCACGACTTTGGCTGCTTCACCAACGTCCAAGTTTTATTCTTCTCGAGGGCTCTCAGCTCCTCCTCAATTGCGGCTTTCCATTTGTCTCCATCTTCTCTAGATAATGCATCCTGAACAGTTAAAGGGTCTGGCGATGCCTTGACTGCTTGGTAAGTTACAAAATCTGGATATGCTTTTGGTATTCTTTCTCGAAGCGGATATCTTCTATCTGATGGCCCATTGTCATTTACTGGTAGCTCTCTACCTTCTTCTACAAGACCATCCTCAGGATCTGCTTCATTTCCCTCGTCAGATGATTCCCAAACCTCATCTTCAACCTCAACATTCTCAAGAGCTGGATTTCCAGGTTCTTCAGGAATTTCTGGCTCTTCATGATGAGTTGAAACTCTATCATACTCAACCGTAACATCCGTCAGCGGTAGCGGGACGGCTTGATTAACGGGAGCACGTAGCTGTACTTTTGAGTTTTCAAAAAATATAACATCTCTACCTCTGTGCAACACTCCTGTCGTAGGGTTAATAAGGCGATAACCGTTTTCGCCATATCCAACATGGACTAACTCTGTGCCCTTAGGATCCCATTTTGTGCGCTTCTGATCTGGAACATGAAGATAAGCTTTACATCCAAACACTCTGAGGTGGCTTAAGTTCACTTTTCTTCCAGTCCAAGCTTCTTCGGGCGTTTTGTTTCTCAAGGCTTTAGTTGGAGACCTATTTTTTAAATACACGGCGGTGTTGACTGCCTCTGCCCACAATTTTCTGCCTAAACCAGCTTCTTCTAACATTGTCCTGGCTTTTTCAGTGATAGTTCTGTTAGCTCGCTCAGCAACTCCGTTTTGTTCAGGTGTATACTCTATTGTCAGTTGGTGACAGATCCCTTTTGCTTTACAGAACTCATCCATACGCTTATTGACAAACTCTTTGCCATTATCAGATCTGATAATTTTAAATTTCTTTCCAGTTTGACGTTCAGTAAGTTTTACGAATTCGGCAAACTTCTCAAAGACCTCTCCTTTACTTTTCAAGAAATATACAAATGTTTTTCTAGTGAAATCATCAATGAATGTGAGAAAATATCGTGAGCCTCCGTACGACTTCTCTCTCATGGGTCCGCACACGTCTGTGTGGACTAACCCTAAGACCTCACTTGCCCTAGTGGCACCAGTTTTCTTGAAAGGGTTCTTGGTCTGTTTTCCTACTGCACACGCTTCGCACTCTAGCTTAGAAGCAGTATTAGAAAAACTTACCCCATCTGCCATTTTGTTTTTAAGTAACATTAGGTTCCGTACCCCTAGATGTCCCATTCGCCTATGCCACAATATTATTTCGTCAGCAGCGGTTGAAGCTAGACCTACTTCCTGTGAACAATACTGTATTTTATAGACACCGTTATTTGCAGTACCTTCATACAAGGTCTCCCCGGAAACCTTACATCCATCTGCTTTGATTATCTTAAAGCCAGATTTCTCAAATACAACTACAAGGTTTTTATTTACAATTGTGCTAACACTGAGTAAATTTGTAGCTAAGTTAGGTACATACAAAACATTATTAATTGAGACGTCCATATCCTCGTTGACTACATTACCAATTGCTTCACCAACCACAGTTTCTCCATTTGCACAAGCTATTACAATTGATTTGTCTAATTTCTTAAAGTCTTTAAGCCAATCTCTCCGATTTGTCATGTGGTTAGAAGCTCCGGAGTCGAGAATCCATTCTCCATGTCCTTGTGCTGCTGTTGCTAACGCTAATGAGGTTAAGGCATCCTTCTTTTGAATAGGGTTTTTCGGACAATCCTTAGCCTTATGGTTCTCTTTGCATATGAAGCACTTAACGACACGTGATCTACTCATATTCTTGTGTGACTTATCTTTCTGACTTTTATTTTTAGCTTGTAATGCGGTTGTCACGGTACTAGGACTTGCTTGATAAGTATCCTCCATCTGAAGTAATTTCGTTTTGACGTAATCTGTAGTCAATTCTATGTTTGTGTTTTCTATTGCTAACCTCATGGGTTGGAAAGTCTCTGTCAACCCCTGTAGCATCAACGCTGCAAGTAATTCATCATCTACCTTTTTGCCCAGATCACGTAGCTGTTGCGCTACTGTCATTATGGCAGTTATGTAGTCTCTGATTGAAGAAAATTGCTCTAGTTTCAGGCTCACCAACTTTGTAAGAAGTCTGCATCGATTATTCAGGCCCTTGTCTTCAAAGGCAGTCTTCAGGGCATCCCATGCCGCTTTTGCAGTCTTCGATTCACGTACGTGTATCAAACAATGTGGTTTAATCATTAAACAGATTTTTGCCCTCGCTTTCTGATCTCTTTTAGAGCCGGAAACATCACTAGCAGCTGGTGTTGTTTGAGTGTATTCCCACAAGTCTTCATGAATTAGATAAAGTTCCATCATGAACTTCCATGTATTATAATCAGTACTACCATCAAGTTTCTCTATTGCTGGTAAACTCATACTTACTCCTTGGGATGGATACGATTGTGATTGTATATGCGTACCATTGCCGCTGCTCCCAGAGTTATTCATGATCGTACTTTCTATTTCCGCTGGTGATCATAACCTGAAGGAGTGTGATACTACGTAGGTACACTCCTTCACAGAGTAGCTCTTGGAAGAAAAATTCATAAAGATATATTATAGGATATTAGTAAAAAACACACTTGGCAGAACACATATTTATTACTTGACGTTCTCTTGTCAACACAAAAAAAGAAAATTCAAAATACTATCATAAAATGCATAGAGATTAAAAAAAGGTTGCAATACTCTTGCTCTAACAAAAATAATGACAGTTGCCTCTCAATATATTTATGAAAATGTAATTCACGCTCATAAAAACAAAAGCTTATTTAAGAAATATAGTGATATACATAATATCAACACGAGGGGGAAAAACAAATATGTTGTGCCTGCCTCCAGGCTTCAGAAAATAAGTAGTTCGTTTAGGTGTCAATGTATACGCTTTTACAATAAAATTCCTAGCGATATTCAAAATTTGAGCCTCAATAAATTTAAAAGTGTAATAAAGGCTAAACTTTGCTGTAAAGCATTTTATAAAATAAAAGACTACTTAGAGGATAGTCAGGCTTGGGAATGAGCCGCTGTAATGTCTGCACAGGTCATGTTGACATGTTTGTAACATAAGTTACACTTTTATATACAATTTGACATTACGTTTATTTTTTTTTATACAATGACATGATCACCTATTTTGACATTTTTATTTTTTATTTGTCATTTTTTTTTTTATTTATTTGTTGACATTTTTATTATTTTATATTATTGTTAGTGTAAGGACCGTGTGAGACTTGTCGTGCTTTTTATCACCAGTCATCTGCGTTCTGACAGTTTGAGTACTTGCGCGACCCACCCAAATGTTCTTTTGATCGGTATTGTTCGTCGGACAACTCAACAGCACTATGGTTGCAAACTGACACTTGCGTGCCTGTCTTCAGAACGGGTCCACTTAAACTGGTGTGGTTCTTTCCTCAAAAGACCACTACAGAATGAACTTGCACGGTTCTCTCACATTATGTTATTTTATATTGTCTGGACTTGAAAAGAGACTGACCTCTGAGTTTGTTTCGGCATTTCTTCTCAGAGTAGTCAGATAGGAAATGCCGGCTTCATCTAGTTTTTCACATATAATTTGACGTGTAAAAGTGCCGTTTTAAGGCCTATTTGCAAAAATAAATTCATTGTTTCATTGTAAGTTAATTTTATTAAACCCCAGTTGCAGGTAGATTGAATTGAATCCGTGTATTATATTAGTATTTGGATGGCGGGGCTATGCTCGGTTTTTGCCGCTGGGAGTAAATCTTCTTAGATTTATTTTTCGTACCCTTTAAAGAATAAGCCTTTCAATACAAAATTTCATCGAAATCGTAGGAGCCGTTTCCCGATCCAGATATATATCACTATTTATCTCGTGATTAAAATGTTGTGATGGCCCGGAGGTTAAGGCGAACGCTTCTCATGTATGAGTGTGCGGGTTCGGAACTTGGCAAGTACCAATGTGACTTTTACCGAGTTATATGACATACGGTGAAGGAAAACATCGCGTGGATACCAGGGCTTATGATTTCCAATTATAAGTTTTAAGCCTCAAGCAAGCGTGTTGATTAAAGCTCAAACCTTCTCCGTGTGAGAAGAGGCCTTCGCTCAACAGTATTGTATTTACTCACTTCCTCAGACTCAAACTTTATTTTGGTTTCGGATCTAGGTGAAGTGTGTGATATTGTGTGTTTATGAACAACGTGGATGCATGGCATGGGAATAAACACAGGGTGTTAAACAAAAAAATAATATTGAACCATAAAGTTGAAACGTCAAATAAAATAATCCGCGTCACAACAAAGAAAAATTGTTCCACAGTTCATAACTATATTTGTATGTTCCACCTTAGGAACATTATGTGAGAGCATCAGCTCGGCACACACAGCACATATTATTGTTGGGTTGGCGAGTGTTGCAGACACGGATGATGGCGACCTGGCTGTTGCACGCGGTGGCCGCCCTCCTCACCGTGATCCTGCTGTTCTTTCGACAGCGCTGCGCCGTGGAGGCCGGAGCCAGCCGCGAGGCCGTTAGTACATCCACTACACACACATTGCACACTCACATTACAGACAGTAAATGTATCCAGCTCCGGCAAGCATCCGTGACATGTACTACTGCTTAAGAGAAGGGTTCGAATGACTAGCAATAGGCAGAATAAGTTGTCGACGTTACATGTAACCGCTATAGTTCTTGTCCCGGCCTATCTACCTATAAGACGTCTTCAATCACAAACACCTTTTTTTAAGTCGCCATCGCTTCATAATTTATTATGTTAAATGTTGATTAAATATTTCATATTTTAATTATGAAGGTACTTAATACATAATTTAATAATTTCTACATGACAGTAGCAAGCGTCACACCATGCAGCGCTGCTATGTTTTAGTGCGTATGATATGATGGCAATGAGGTGTACAGGGAGTCCCTGTGTGTTGCAGAACAAGCGCAGGAAAGAGGTAGCCGGCGCATGCGCATGCTCGTGCAGTACCCGGCCCCTGGCTGCGCTCGCGCTGTTCGCTGAGAACGTCGTGAGTGCACGCGCCGTCGTACGCCAAACGCAGCCCAAGTACAAGCGTGACCCAGAGATAACGCTCGACAACGAGAGCCTCGGCAAGCACCCGCGCGAACAGAACGATTAGTTGCCACACGCCCGCCACTATTCATTATATTATAACACAAGCTACTATCGCGCGGTTTCACCCGCTGCTAGGCTCCATTTGATCGTAGCATGATGTTTTATAGCCTATAGCACTCAGGAACATTGTAGCTACCTATCTATCAGTGAAAAAATATTGAGAATCCGATCAGCTGTTCCAAAGATTACCATATATATAGATATATAGATTCACATATAATCAGTTACATTGATGAAAGTACCTGTCGAATTGTAATAAAATGTTAATAAAAAGCGCAAAATACCCCAACATTACGTTTGCATTTTTGTCCTCAACTTGGGAAGTTTTGAGTCACCGTGTAGAACTTTTATACTTCATGTAATATCCAGAAATCAAAATAAGATTTCAAGCCTATCGACCATTATGCAGAACTGCATATGAGTCCTTTTATTTTAATTTGATCTCATGTAGTGTAAAGTAACAAACTTGGATTATGATGATCATAGAGAGGAAATATATTTGTCATAAAATGGGTCCGAAATGGCCAATCCGCCCCGAGAAAGCGTGGTTATAATGTTCAAACCTTCTCCGTGTGAGCAGAGGCTTCATTCAGCTCATAGATTCAGCTGTTACAGGCTGATAGATATATACTTATAGATAATGATGATCAGTAAACCTGGTTACGAAGCTACAAAAACCGAATTTTGAAAGAAATTCGCCTACCCCGGATTTTTTACAAAATCGAGATCCACTCGAGATTAATCTTCTAAGTGCATTTCATTCTCTAGATTTGAATCAACATTACACAAAATAATTAGCAAGTTTCTGACTTTTGTAAGAGTGATACGAAAAAAAATTTGATTTAGTATTTTATATTCAAGCGACAATGATACATAGATAGAGATATACCCTAAACCGACCATATTTATATACGTCACTTATATAATACCAGACTTGTTAATAAATAAAACCTAAATCTATGTCATTGTGCGTTCATGTATATTAAGAGGGTTTGCCAGAATCTCTCGGGGCTTGGCAGGCGAGTTGGTGAGCAGTTTAAAAAACCTTTAAACGCTTTCATCTCCATTATGTAGATGGTTTGCAATCAAATCAACAAGTGTGCGATTTTCTAAACTTTCTACCTTGCACAGCATAATTTTGGAATGATCTTTCGGCAGCGGTATTTCCGTACCCATAAGACCTTCAAACGCTTTAGATACGAACGTGCTGCTTCTTAAAAGGCCAGCAATGCGCTTGTGAATACGCTGGTGCTGCGAGTGTCCATGGGCAGCGCTGATCACTTAGCATCAAGTGATCCTTTAGCTCCTTTGCTTCCTATTATAAAAGAAAACTGGTTCATCAATGAGCGAGGGTGGTGATGCACGCGATTAGCTATATGGAGTATTAATTAATATATTTTTATACCAGTTAAACGAATAGAGTTAGTAAAACTGTCAAAGATATTTAAAACAAAAATATATTAGACTAACACAAATATAAACCTTCAAAGAATTAAGAACACTGTCGTGTGGGTGAGCCATAGGCCCTTCTCCTGGCCGGCACCATGAGGTACTTGACATTCTTTTTGTAGTAGGGGCACGCAGGCTCGTCGCAGCCGAGCACGGTCGCTTCGCGCACGCCGGCCGCGCCGCGCTGCAGGAGCTCGTCTCCCAGGATGAGGCGGCGCGCGCACGCCAGCAAGCATGGCCCGCACACTGCCACTGCACACAACGCTGCCAGGAACTCCACCACAAACATTACAGTCTCAGACCACATGGTTGCCGTGACGATATTGTGGCCGGTCCATAAGGTCTTACAATATTATTATACATACAATTATTATGATATCACTCCGATACGGGCCTTGTAGACACAAAAACTATTACAAATAACTATAATAATGTAACAAAACAAAAATATGGAGGTTAGTAAACTATCAAATTCATTCTATATTTTTCTTTGACTACTAACTGTACACCTGGATTGAGTTTATAGCAAGGAGTAGGTAAGTGCCGAGCATAACTCTCAGCCATAAGGCGCATAATTACTGTACTTTCTTGTTTATGCAAGGGACCGTTACATAAAATTATTTTAATATATATAAAAGATTACAGCGAATGTGAGGGAACCATGTTTCGGCATAGGTACCTAAATGCTCCGGCTCGATAGGAGTCATAGATACCACGGCCTCTATGAAAACAGAGGCGAAACCACAATAGCGTTGTTTTTCGCCGTGTGAGGCTACGCGATGCTCGATTCTTTTTCTCCTACGCCCTCCCTCCCCAAGTGCTAAATCCCCCAAAACTGCAAATCCACATCAGTTGCGAGTTCGTTGCTAACGAACTCGCAACTGATTTGGGGTGTCCGTGGGGCAGTGCCTATTGATTACCATCAGAAGATTCCATCTTGGAAATGAATAGTAGGTTACCATAAAGTTCTTTTTCCCATTAACCTAAAGTTCTTTTTCCAGTTAAATAGCTAGGTACGTTAACAATACTCGGAAAACAAGAAATGGCCAATGAAAAAAGAAATGGATAAAAGTTTGTATGTAGAAAACCTGCGCTAGCTTCAGCTAGCGCAGGTTACATACCAACTTTCAAGTCTGAATAATAAAAATATTTAATTTAAAATAAAATAAAAGTTATTTGCATGAAATTCAGATAGTCCAGCCACAGTACATTTGTTTTTCAATCTGGTATAACAAAAAGTTTAAGGAATAATTTGCAACATTTAGAAATGTCAAAGTCATAAGATCTCATCACTCATCGGTATCGTCGCCTGTCAAACTCTTGACGTTTTCGAAAATATGGGTCGGGTGAGGATGTGTCGAAAGTTCGCTGAAACAATGAAAATATTATATTTAAAATAGAATAAACAAGAAAAGGCATTTAGCAACATATCAATCAGTATTTTTGTATGTGTTAGAAATATTTTGTAATCGTTTGGCAAAAGTGTATTGTAATTATGTCGTCGGGAATAGCGATATGGTGAGTTTTCGCTTAAACTTAATATAAAGATTATTGTTTGGGTTTATCACTTTTGGACAAAAGTGTTAATACATAAAAAGTAAATCTACTTCAGCAAGTACAGGTGATTTTAATAATATGTACTAAGCAGGCAGCTGTATTCTTGAATATTGGATTTTCGTATTAATATTAAGTTATGATTAAATATACTACACTTTATTACTGTTCTGTACATTTTATATTATTTCTCTATAATAATAATATTTATTTTGGTCGGTTACAATCCTAAGAGATCGAGTTGTATTTGAATTCTTTCACAATTAATTCATATTTCATTAGATATTCATTACAGTTATTATAATTAAAAATATGACCATAAGATTGAATTAGTATGAGTGAATAAAAATAAAGTAACATGTATGTGTGACAGGTGTATGGGGCTGATCTGCTTCGGGGTGATGTGGCTGATCTCCCATGTGTACCGCCTGCTCATTGATGTGTATGAGCAGTCCGCTGCACTCAGTGACATTGAGTACTCATGGTGAGCTATTATTATCATTTTGTTATGAATGAACCAAAGCATTTGTATACGTAACAACTTTATAGTGTAAGTCATGGAAAGCTCATGGCAGTTTGTTTTGAAAATTTGTATTGACTGCATTGCATTATAATCCTTAATACACTTTGTATCAATTAAAAACCTTACATTCATTTATTATTATAATGTTCCAAGATAAAAGTATGCATATGCATATCATAATAAGTGATCATGAATGTCTCCGTCAATCAATGTTCTACAGAATATACATGCAAGGTACATGCCGCACCCACATACTGTTGCAGGTTCTTCAAATTGATGCTGAACCTGGTGGGCTACTCCACCGTGCTACTGCCCATGTACATAATGTATAAATATTTGGAAAAAATCAACTACTTTGATAAGATAAGTGAGTATAATCCATAAGGGTCAATTAGTGCCTGATTATTTTGTTCGAATTCATTAATTAGTTGTACTTACTATAATGTATTGTTTTTAATTATGTCTTCATTATAATTCTGTTTGTACAGCGTCATATTACTATTGCCAACATAAAATTGTTTTTTCATAAAATGTTTTATAGTCAACACAAATTATATTGAATTTTTAAATTAAATTGATACATTTTGCTAGCTGAATGATGTTTGTGTACTGAACAATATTTTAAAAAGATGTTCAGAATGCATCATGTTACTATATATTAGAAGGTTGTCAATGTAAGTAGGTCACAGTCACAGCAGCTATTAATTAGCTACATGTCAACAGGAAGTTATGGTAACACGAGCCAAGTACACTGGACCCACGCCGCCACACATGTCACCAACAAATGCTTAGCTAGTCATTACTTATACCACAAATAATGTAATAAGAATAACAAACAGGTTGAGTAGGTAAATAAAAAAATGTAATAATAAAGAGAAGGTTTGCGCTGCTGCTGGCCATAACAGATATTTGCCATTTGTTGGAATGTTGTTGTAACATGCAATATGTAGTATGACTTGTTTATTTATTACACAATTACCCAAAAAAGGATTATTATGATTTTAGGGTTAATGTCATGTATGTATGTGATTTTCATTTTGTAAGTAGTTCTTTATTGAAATGTTGTGTTGCTGTCGACGATTCTTATGAGAGATGAAAATATGAAAGATTTTTTTCATTTTCTTTTATGTTGTCGTTATTTACTTGTCTATAGAATACTAGCTGTGTCTCGCAGTTTTGCTCTTGTAGTTTTGTTCAATGGGGATGGTATAGTTTTTTAAGAAGATGTTTCATTATCAATATTCCTCTTTATAATTTTAGTATAGATAAGAAAGGAACGTTGATATATGCGCGTAGCGTCGTTTTGCAGGTAACTCGGGGTGGTCATGGCGCGTGTTGTTCTCGTGTTTCGGCGAGCCGGGGGAGCGGCTGGCGGACAGCGCCAAGGTGCGCAAGGACGAGAGTCCCGCGCGGGAGGGCGCGCAGCTCGCATTCTGCTTCATCGGCCTCATGTCGTCGTACCTCGTGTGGGGACTGCTGCAGGAGAAGATCATGACACAGGTAACACTGATGGGAAGATATACGCAGCACTCATAATAATTAACTACTTACATAAACTCTTAGTATTCATTCTTTGTTAGATTTTGAGCAACTCAACCTCCAACAATGGAGCCGAATGTAGGTACTGTGGAGGGTCTTAAATAATTACTATTTTTGTTTGTTATAATTTTAATTGTACAGTCGATAGGCTTTATTATCTCGTTGTTTTTCTTGAGTGTGATGTGACTAGATGTGATGTGGGTACTACAACCTAGTTAGTGGTATGTGAGACTTAGCCTAGATACATACATCAGTGCATAGAATGTAGTATTCCGACGCGACAATACCTGTTCATTAATATTCCGAGTTACTTGTATAACACAACATCACTGTTTTCAGCCTGTTTTGTAGCCAACAATAAGACATGCCGGCCGCCAAAAAAACTATTTCTTCTATGACTAACTAGCTCTTACCCACGGCGTCGCTCCCGTTATTTGACTAACTACCCTACTCTGTCTAGCCTACTCTACGTACCTTACACGCTGTCAAGTGTTTACATACCACTAACAAAGATAAGTTGGAGCAATCATACATGACACAGAAGCGCAAAAAATAGAACACAAAATTGCTGGCAGCGATTTCCTTGCATGTCAGGGTGTGAGTGTTGTGGTGGTGCAGGTGTACGTGATGGCAGACGGCAGTACGACGCGGTTCAGCGACTCCCAGTTCCTGGTGTTCGTGAACCGTCTGGCGGCGCTGCTGGCGGCGGCGGCGCGCCTGGCCTGCAGCCGCGCCCCGCTGGCGCCCGTGCCGCTCTACAAGTTCTCCTACTGCGCACTCACCAACGTCGTCAGCGCCTGGTGCCAGTACGAGGCGCTCAAGTACGTCAGCTTCCCCACGCAGGTGACCGCTCATACTGTTTACCTAACCAACATTAAGATATACACAATGTTTTAAAAGTTATTTAAATTTGGAATACATCATAGATGGCGTTGTTATCGAATTAGATCGTATATGTCTAAAGATATTTTTTTTTCCTGTATATAAAAGTTTATTTTGTTCTAGATATATCCTATTTAAAACATTCATACATATTCTGTTTTATGGATAGTACACAGTGACTAATGTGGCATGGGTGATAAGTCAGTATGTATGTAAGCGCAGGTGCTATCGAAGTCCTGCAAGGTGATCCCTGTGATGTTGATGGGCAAGCTGGTGTCGCGCAACAAGTACGAGGTGTACGAGTACGTCACCGCCGTGCTCATATCCATTGGCATGGTCATGTTCATGTTCGGCAGCCACGACGACAATGTGGGTGAGTACACCAACCTTTACTCATGTCGTTGTTATACATCAATTCTGTTGTTGTTATTATGTTAGTAAATAAGTTGTGAATAATATTATGTAAGTTTTTTAATAAAATACACGTTTTTCAAGTAGTAAACCTTTGGCACCTATGTCGGGTGAGTGAAGTAATACCTATGGGTGGTGCGTAGTGTCGAGTGCGATGACGTGGGGGGGCGCGGCGCTGCTGGGCGTGTACATGGTGTGCGACAGCTTCACGTCGTCGTGGCAGGGCGCCGTGTTCTCACGCTACCAGTGCTCGGCGCTGCACATGTTGTGCGGCGTGAACATGTTCTCGTGCGCGCTGACGGCGGCGGCGCACGCGCACGCGGCGCCCCCGCTGCGCCTGCTGCAGCAGCCTGCCTTCCTGGCCGACTGCCTGCTGCTGTCCGCCAGCTCGGCGCTGGGCCAGCTGCTCATCTACCACACCATCGCGCGGTTCGGGCCCGTGGTGTTCACGATCATCATGACGCTGCGGCAGGCGGTGTCCATCCTGCTGTCGTGCGCGGTGTACGGTCACCGCGTGTCTGCGGGCGGCGCGCTGGGCGTGGCCACGGTGCTGGGCGCCGTGCTGCTGCGACTGTACGCGCGCGCGCGCATGCGCACACGCCGCCGCGCCGCCATACTCTAGCCACACACACACACACACACACACACACTGCCTCTACTCTACTCTTAACATTTTCCATTTAATGCTCAATAGATGGCGCTAGTGGTCTAACGTACAGTTCGACCGATGACTTACAAAAATGAAGTTTAAGGTACCACTAGAGCCTCTGGTAGCGCGATAGCTCGCATTAGAATAATTCTATATGACCAGTGCTCGAATACTTATCTCATATATTTATCTAAGTAATCGACGTAAATATCCTATCCATGGACTGAATGCCCAAAGACTTGCTGTTATTCTTTTTGTACAAGTATTTTTTTCTGGTAAAAAAGATATTTTTATTTCTTTTTTTTCGAAGATTTTGTTTTACTTACAATTTGCTTAAATGTAACACTAAAGGGGAGGCTATACCAACTCACTGCCATTCTATAGAAAGATGCAACTTACCTACTGAAATTATTCATCAAAACATTCAACTGAGTTATGTTACATTTATTTATTTTTACCAAGTACCTAAATATTTTGTCCACATAGTGGAAAATTTTTCATCTTCACTATTTATTACAAGAGAGAAGGACGAAGACGACTATTCAGACATACTGATTTAAAATGTTATTTATTTTAAATGCTTCAACCATGTATACTATTGTCGTGTTTAGTCCGTAAGCTGGAATATTAATGTTAACTCGGCCAAACTGCCAACAGATGGCAGTAGTGGACTTTTCATAATAAATAATGACGTATATTATTTGTTTGTTTGTGTTGTACATTATGTGTACACGATGCGTAGATATTCTCTTACATGATATAATGTTGCCAGCTAAGTCAAATAAGTTTCTACATGAAGGCGTTAGAAATGTACTTAACTTGCCCGATGTAGATCCATTTTTAAATGTATTTTTTTTGTGTAATGTGACTAGCACAACACAGCTGCTTTTAGCACTATGGTTTGTTTACATGCAAATATCGATAAATTATTCTTCTCTTCTTTATCGTTTCGCTCTTGGCAGAGCGGCCAGGGTCACGAAGATGTGGCCGCATAATTATGTGTTAGGGGTGGACCCGGACTTTCGCGCGATCTCCGCCATATTCTTTGCTTGCAGACTCTTTGACACAGATGCCGACTGGTTATACACATTCCCCTTATTATAAAACAAGATTTATCTTTAGTCTAGATTTAAACCATTCAGTCGATTTTTGTATTTTGAACCTTATTCTCATCATCATCATCAGCCTATAAGTGCCCACTGCTGAGCAAATGCCTCTTCTTAATCTTATTCTCATTTACCTTCAATTCAAAATACAAAAACTGGCTCAATGGTTTAGATCTAGATTAAAGAAAATCCTTGTTTTGTAATAAGGCCTATTGAGTTTAAAGTTATTGAATGATTTATAGTATTTAAGCTAAGTAGGTAGTACCGTACAGCTCACTGGAGTGCCGCATCCGACTTACACGCAGACTGGTGCAATGCAACAAATAAACTTGGTGATGATAATATGAAATTGTTTCACTTTGCCCCTGAAAATATATATTTATATTCAACTAGGATGTTGTTACAGCTAAGTTCTCTACGTGGTATACAGATGGGCATAACACAACACATTTTCATTGACATTGTGACGTATGACGTAACGCCCATGCTGCGTTCGATGAAAATAGGTATTTAGGTACTAACGTACGTAGGACGTATGTAGAAGCAACAACGAGCACCGAAGCTATATGCCTAAACTAAGAGTAGGCTGGTCTCGCTCCCGAAGAACTGTTGACTGTTGGGTACCTGTGGTCTGGAAGATGAAAATAACACCTAGCTTTTTCTAAGGGTGAACATCCTCTTATGTCTTATTGCGTATGCACTTTCAATCCTAGCCATCGACCCTATTCAGCCACATCTATAGGTAGGTACTGGTCTTATGGCTTAGAGCCATACGCTCGGGTCTGGCCCTGGCAGACCCAGCGCTTTTTTGGAATAATATGTCAAATCCCAGGACCCCCATCCTGGGAAGGGAGTGTCAGACGCTTACTCACTAAAAAAACCTCTGCTCCGTTTCCTGGTCTATGCCGAAGCCACGGTGCGAATGTCGCGCTAACCCCGACGCCCAAATTGTCTACTGCGGCTGGAGCGTGAGGAGGATAGTTCATAGAGGATAGTCACGCCCCAGCCAGTTTTTTCGCTCCGCGCCATTGCCTGGACTACAGCCCGGACGTGAGAGGTCAGCGTCACCGATCACTTCCTTGAAAACACAGCAGTGTTCAGCCCAAGGCCACACCGGCCACACTACCACACCGTTTGCTCCACCATGTTCGCCGGGTGATTTTCATAATGGCGACACGCCGTGACCCTTGCTGAATCGCAAACAGTGGCTCCCAAAGCATCCGTGTCCGGACAGATCTGCGTCAGACGGAAAGCAAGGACGCCTTTTTCAGCCGGTCCTCTCAGGATTTTATAGGGTCTTACCGCTGCAATAACAGCGATCCCGGCCCTGCCTCGGTTGCGACAGCCGTTGCTAAGTATAATAAGATAATATCAGTCGTGACTAGAATAAAAAAATAATAATGCGTTGTTTAGCAATTTCTTATTCTGAACGTTTGACTAGCTGTAAGTACAGGTATAAATTCGTATTATACCGATTTTTCTGATAATATATTAGTTATGTTCATTACATAGTACCTATAATTATATATCTGTAGGTCATTGCAACAAAGATATGATGTGGCAAACAAATAATACAAAGAGTATGTATATAATAATCTAAGTGTAGGCCGACATACTGGCTAATATGTCTGCCGCAGCTGAAATAGAAACCGTCCGAGTAGAAGTGTCAGTAATCCGCGGCCACCGCGTCGTGTTGCGGCGCGCCATTATTCCAGCATCAGTGCAGTTCCCGATGTAAACCATGCTGTGGCTGGCCAACCCCATTACCATCAACAACTACTATGAGTTCAAACAGTTTGAGAGCACTCTGTTTGAAAAATAACGGACAATGGATGTCAATGTACAATGACACACGCGCCATTTTGTAAGTAACGTCTCTGTAAGAAACATCTTTCAACCCAGATAAATCCAATTTGTACGAGTGCCTGCAGGCAGCTGTATGTAGGTAGGTTCTATACCTATAGCTATTTTCTCAAGTTAGAGTAGAATTATTCCGAACAAAGAAGCTTTTCGTTGTTATTGTAGTACTTATTTTAATAATAATTCATTACTTCACCCATGTGTCATTTTGTTCATACTTATTTCAATGTTCGCGCCTGTATCTAGATCGGAGACTTATTACTGGATCGGTTTGCCAAAACACTAATGTGGTAATAGAGCGAAAAAATGAGATCTTACATTACGCCTGTTAGAGTTAAAAAGAACACTCGAGTTCGTAGCAAATCTATTGGGGTGCCCTCGATCTTACATAGGGTGTCTTATATGTAGGTAGGTACGGTACTGGAAGTAAGGATCTAACCGAAATTCCGCCCCTAACGCTACCCACTAACTGAAGGTTATTTTCAAACTCTTTGAGTTCTGTTAATAAAAGGAGTGTTACTGAAGTTTAGTAAGGAGTTTTATGGTGTGTGCGTGTGTGTGTGTCAGCGCGCTAGGCATGCTGGTGCAGCTGGTGGCGAGCGTGATGATAGTGGCGGGGCTGGCGCCGTGCGTGCTGCAGCGCGCCTGCCCCGCGCGCCGCCCGCGCCCGCCCTCCACTGTCTGCATGCACCGCATCCCCTCCACCCGCGCCGAACGTATAGTGAGCTGCGACAGGTGACCTGCCATGCGACTTTACACTCCTCTGATAGAAACAGGACAGCGTATTTCATTATTATGCTCACCTCTTCGTGCTTCCTTCTCTTTGACTAGGATATCTACTAGTTTCCGGCCACGCTAGGAACTCGTATGTTATGAATACACGACGCGGCTAGATAGCGTCGTCCAGCTTGTTCTCGTGTGTACATGTCTTGTATCAAGGGTTTGCCTTTAATAACAATGCCGTAGAGCTAGAAATAAAACGATATGTTTCTTGTCACGTTCCCAATTCATTAACCTGTATATACGAATCAAGGAGTACCTGCTTATATTGCACGTGGCGAACCTCTGTCGGTCCCGCTAAGAATGCTCATTTCATTTCCAGAAAATGTTCTAAGGGTAGCGCGAAGAGGAAGAGGATCGCCGTATAAATTGTAAACTCCAAGGTGAATTTTGAAACATTTTTGAATGTATAAGTAAGTACCGTCCCTTTTTTATGTAAAAAAGGCGGCAAACGAGTAGGTAGCTGTTGGTCAGCACTGCCCATGGTTCAGGGGAGTTTCAAGTGCCAGCTTTTTTTGGGATCAGATCCAGTAACACCCAAGTGTTGTGAGAACCGCCCGTTAGAGATCGTGTAGCATACGGTAGCGCTGTAGGTAGGTACCCCTTGTGTCGACCACAGCCGTGTTCGTGAAGCGATCGGAAGCAGTGACCTCTCGCATCCGTCTTTAGTCGAGACCGTGATGCGGAGCGAGAGGTACTCTCCTTTTTCCGCAAAGCAGTCATACTCGTAAGGGAACTATATCCTCCTTAGGCAGCCGCTGCATATGGCCAATAGGGAAAACTCCGGGCGTCTATTGGGGTGGGATGGGAGGAAGGGAAGGATTGAGCCTCACGGTAATATCTCTCAAACAAAGAAATATTTAATACGCAGTGATGGTTTCACGCCAGTTTTCTGTGAGGCCGTTGTGTCACTCTGGTCGAGCCGGTCCATTCGTACCAAAGCATGGCACTGCAGGTCTCCTCTTTATGTGAATGTATCTATCTATATGACCGAAGCTAGAAGGTAACTCGGGAAAATACGTTGCCAAAAAAGCAACTTAGTCCCAAGCCTAACGCGAGGTTTTCATGAAGAACCTAGTTTAAGTCTACTTAGAATTCTTTTACGGCCTTTCGACACTGCACACGTAGTAGTACCTGGATGCGTATAATGGATGTTGATAGGAAGACGAGTGTCTGCGACAGAGTGCGACATGTCGCGACGCAGTTCCCACAGAATGTATGCTGCAGATATTTGTGAATAAAATATGCGGGAAACAATGGCGGCGGGATATTTGGCGAGCGATGGGCCGTGTTGTGATACCGCGTCCGTCTGCTGTTTACTAAACAAACTGTCGTATTGTTTCATTATTTTCATAATTATTGACCCCCGTACCAAGCGATCCGCGACGACTTTGTTACGGATAAATATACAAAGTTTTTATGATTTCAGCTATTTCAGTTTCAAGGATATTTATTAACGTAACAGAAGATAAGTTTGGTCATCTTTAGTTCCAAGGAATAAGATTGGTCGTGGTACGTGTATAAAAAAACTGATTTCTCTCACATTATGAGTAGATATCTAACTAGATATAAAGGTAGGTAAATGAAGTCCATACCAAAAATAATTGGAGCTAACCTGGGTTAACTATACCTAGGTACTTAGGTATGACTGATTTTTCAATAGTCAGACAAATGTATGTACTTATCTGAGGAATAAAATTGTTGCTGTCACTGTCTTCTAAGTAAGGTACCTGTATACCTTTTACCTAACGATTGAAAAATCAGCCGTAAGTTACTGGATTTTTCAATAGTTTTTACATTTGCTTTAGATATCTTCTAAAAGGGAAACAAAATGAGAGTGCACCATGATCTTGAGGTCACGTGTTTATTGTGAGTTGTGTTCACGTCTCATTTTATAGAGACCTTAAATTTACATTTAATGCCAAATGGTCTTTTTTTTTCAGTAAAAATTTACATCGAGTGTCGCTATCGCTGTCGCAGTGAATAGTTAGGTAGCGGGCGAGAGCAATGCGTGTGCGCATAAATAGGGGTGCGCGGCGTTGCGCGCGCGAGTGGTCCTGCAAGCGCAGCTGCGGTTGGTTGGTGTGTTGCTGCATGTGCCACTGCGGTGTGTCCAGGGACCGGCCGCCCCGACCGTCACATGACTTGCTCCCAGGCGCTGGCGCTGCTCGCGCTCGTCGCCGTCTCGCAACAGGTAACTTGTTACTCTCGCTGCATTATGCATGCATCCATCCCTAGCAGTCTCTTAACCTATGTTTTGGGACAAGGTATCCTCAAGAATTCTTCATCTCCAATCCCAAGGTCTCCATGAATACCTAATTTTGGGGATACCTAAATCATCCCGACGTAGGTACACCGCGTCCCAAACTAATAAAAGGTTCAGCAAGCTTGTTTACCCTAAATGAGGAAGTTCTCTGAGTTTGCATTTGCTTAATGAGTTGTATAATTGCATGTCTCTGATCTTTAATGGGTTTTGTACAAGAGCCCTTTCGATTTTCCTTTTCTTTCTATGAAGAACTACTGTATGGTTCTACTATTTTGTAGTATCTACAAAAATAAATGTTCTAGTGTTTAGGAAGCCCATCTTATGTATGAGAAGCATATGAGAGTACTTGGTTTTGTCATCAGGTATATTGTTAAATGTACCAGGAATATTCGCGCTCATTCCATTTATAATAACAATCGGTTTTCAGTTTTGCATATCAACTCTGATTTCTTAATAAAATGTATTTCGCGATTTAGTGCGTACCAGTGTTGATTCTGGGAGACCCTTTTCAGCTGAACCTCTTTATCCATCATTTTTAGTTTTGAATATTTGTGAACAATGAACTACTCATAGATGTTTTTGCCTAGTCATCTTATTTGAGAAGAGAAACCAAATCAATGAAGACTGCGGTGTTGTTACCTTTTATTAATTCTCAATATTTTGGTTTACAGGCAACAACAGGATGCAAAAACTGTATTGTAAGTAATTGAACCATTTATTGTTTTGTTTAATGCACATCTGCACATTATGAACCCCAATAGATAGTGATAACGTCTGTAAAATTGTATCCCATAGCACAATACACTATCGTTGTCCCCACGGTCGAGTAAAGCAGAACAGTTATCGGCCATTGTTTCTTTAGAAAATTCTCAGTAATATAATGACGACTGGAATTGTGCCCGGTTAATAAGTACTTATGCGTGGAATTGGGGAAGCCTATGTCCTGTCCGGCAGTGGATGGGATCAGGCTTATGATGATGATGGTCTTAACTTAAGGGAATACGGTCGCCCGCTTATTCAGGCAAGTTCATGGGACTTATAATTTCATGAACTGTGTAACAATATTAGATAAGCAGCTGGCTGTTTGCTTTCATCTGTATAAACCGTGTAAGAATATTATTTATACCTCGATCTGTGAGTTGGTGTCACGGGCATCAACATTTTCTACCTGCATGTACCTCACAAGTGTTACACTAAGGACCTGCTTTACAGTGCCGTTTTACCGCTATGTAAGTTTAAATACAGAACGTAATGTTCACAAACTATGCGACACATAAGTTTATCAGGAACTTATATGGAGGTGGTACCTAGTTGTAGAGGGCTGAGGGTGCTGGTGACTGTTGCAGATGCTGGGTAAGGAGGAGAAGGCGATGTTCCGCGCGCACTCGGAGGCGTGCCTGGCGACGTCGCGCGTGGAGCCGCGGCTGGTGGACGCCATGCTGGCGGGCGAGCTGCTGGACGAGCCCGCGCTGCGCAAGCACGTCTACTGCGTGCTCCTCAAGTGCAAGCTCATCAGCAAGGACGGCAAGCTGCAGAAGGCCGCCGTGCTCGGCAAAATGGCTGCCCGACCTGACGCCAAAAACGCTACCAAGGTTGCCTTGTCTTTTCAACTCCAATAAACGAGCGTAACTTTTAGATGATGAATGAGCGTACGAATAGCCGGTCTAGTCTTGTTCTGTAAATGATAGCTATAATTCAATTAGGGCCGAGGCACTCGCTCGTCGCGTGTAGGAAAATTAAAATAATAAATGGTCTTTCAATACGTTTATCTACATTATACTAATGTTATAAAGCTGAAGAGTTTGTTTCTCTCAGGAACTACTGGTTCGAATTGGCAAAAAAAACTTTTTTGTGACCATTTATAGGAATTATAGGAAGGCGTTAAGCTATAAAACATCACGCTACGTTCTGTAGGAACCGAGCAGCGGGTGAGAGGTAGTAAGAATATATTTTTCAAAAACAATAAATAAGTATTACTATTTTTTTTAATATATGAACTTGTATTTAAGAAGCATAGTGATATACATACATAGTAATAACGCAAGGAAAATATAGGTATATCTAATGCCTTAAATTAAATGAAAAACTTAAATTCCCAGAAATATTAGAGATTAAAGCTAGAGACGCCATGTTCTCTACTTCCGCCTAACGTGAATGCTTACCGAACGCGGAAGCTTCGGTAGGTATCTGGCGGAGGAAAAATTCGGGTGTTGGCATTATGAGGACTACTCGAAGGACACGGTGGCGGTGTGCCCTGCTTGGGCTAAGCCCTTCCGTATCCTCACGGAAGTATTTGGAAACAGCGACCTTTCGCGTCTGTCCTTAGTCGAGGCCATAATGCGGAACAAGAGCAATTGGGAAAACGTGTTCCTCTTTCTGCAAAGCAGTGATGTGAGTGATGCTCATAAAGGAGGAGGCGCCGTAAGATCTGTGGACGGAGAGCAAGGGGAGCTCACCGCACGACCAGACGTGCGCACCTGGAAGAGAAGTCATTTGAATTTACCCCTAAGAAAAACATGCAATGCGATTTTTTGAATTGTGAGGACCACCTTAAGACACGGCGGTGCTCAGCCCAGGCAGGGCACACCGACAGCGTATCCTCTGGGTTGTCCTCACAATGACGACACTCGGGCGTTTCCTCCCGCTGGATCCGAAACAGGAACCTACCGATGCTGCCGTGCCCGGTAAGCACCTGCGTCAGGCGGGAAGTGAGGAAGTGGCGACTCAAGCCACTCGTCAAAGAGGGGTCTAACCGCTGCTATAACAGCGAGCCCGTGCCGTCGGCCGCCGGCCGTGGTGTCACTCCGGTCGAGCCGAATCCATTCGTGCCGAAGCATGGCTCTCACACTTCCTTCAATTTAATTATTATGTTTTAACAGTTTAAGTATTTGTGCGACCTACTTAAATGTTATTTTTATTGACTTTGTTCTTCGGACAATTTAGCGGCCTGCCAGTTAGTTCCTGTGCCTGCCGCCCAAATGGGTCCTTTCAACCGCTTTAGGTTTTTTAGGCATGTCATGGTATTATTACTCCCATCGAGCCTGCTTGACGTTGAAGTAGAAATGCTTTATTGCAGGGCAACGGCCCCAATCATGATAAATCGAGTAGAATTCATACAGTACTGAAAAAATATACGAAAACTGATTTTTTTAAACTATCGTTCTACTCTAGGTTCTGGAGAGTTGTGCAGACCAGACGGGCGACACACCTGAAGACCTGGCATGGAATCTGTTCCGCTGTGGTTACGACAAGAAGGCGCTGCTATTCGACTACATGCCAACAAACGGCGCGAACGAGTCCGACAATAACTCCTAACTAGTTCTCCCCGGTCTCCAGAGATGGCGCTGTTAATATTTAGCACTATTTAAAACTTGTTTTGTTCGTGAATATACCTTATATCTTCGAACCAGGTTTCCAAAATATTTTCTTTATCGAAATTATACCCTTGCAAAGTTATATGTTTTCATTATATATTATTCACTAACTACAGGACGTTTCATTTATAAAAATATTTTTATACTTCGACTATCGGCAGCGAGAACACAATAGGCCAATAATTATTGAAGCTCCTGCTGTAGCTTAACTTTAGATGTTGCAATCCTGCAACACCAGATGACCACGTAGGCGCCTGATTAAACTATTTATATGGAGGTATCCAGAACTCTCACCTTTGTACAAAGGAATACAAACCGTATTTAGCGTTATACCTTTGTCCAAATTCACTCATCATCATCATCATCATCATCAATAGAATTTAAGGGGCGAATATAGATATACGAAAGGGGTGAATGGATATTGGCGAATTTTCCTGTTACGTTTTGGCCAGAGACGTAAAACGACAACGCCAGATAATGGTGTCCGACGCTAGCGGAGGATTAGCCTTCAACAGCTTTTGTCGGTCGTCTAAGACTTAAATAAACCTATCCGACAAATCACTACAATCACCATAGATTATACACTATAACTGGAATCAGATCAGACCACTCAGACAATCACTATTGCACGCTGCTATTCTTCTTTGAGGCATGTGTTAGGAACTTCCTTTCTTGGTTGTACCGACCCATTCAAGTTGCATGTGAGCCTCTTCACTCTTAAATTAACAGGAAGAAATATAAAAAAATGTAATGAGTACAATGTTTGTGTGTTTTTCAAGTACTTACTTATTTCATTTCATCGGGGGTTTCTTATGAATTCTGAAACCGTGTATATGAATATATGTATGACAAACTGGCTCAGACGTTTTATGTGTTAGGACGGCAAAGAAGCAGACGGATTACCTGATGGTAAGCAATCGGCGTCGCCCATGGACACTCCCAACAACGGAGGATTTACAAGTAGGTACTTACGTTGCCGTCCTTTTGGGGATTAGGGTTATGGAAATTTAGGGATTGGGGGGGGGGGGGCGTTTGTGGCCTCCGATAATATCATTCACACAGCGAAACAACGCGCAAACAAACAACGTTTTTTGCCGATTTTCTACGAAGAGGTGGTATCACTCCGGTCGAGCTGACCCATTCGTGCCGCAGCATGATTAGTTACGTAGTTCGTAATAAGTATCATAATATCTTTTTAATGAAATCAGTTTAATAATATCATTTATCGTGCCTACTAACGGGCGCATAAAGTTTCCTAAAACATGAAATGTTTCTCGTTTGGTATTAAGAATTTATGCGCAAGGTAAGTACTAGCATAATTATGTAAATAATCCGCGAGGGAGTCAAGACGTGTTAGTTGCACCGAGTTAAGTGTAAATGATATTCGAAACAGCTTTATGATCTCATTGCGGGCGGTGGGCGGTGACCCACAAGCGATACAGCCTCAGTAGGCAGTACGAGTGCATGCCTTTGCCTGCCCTGTGCTGTCTGTGTTGTCTGTGACTCGTGAGAATCGCGCGCGCTAAATTTGAATTTAAAACTAATAAAATAGTGTTTATAGTACCTAAATTAAAGTTAGCTTTGTGATATTGTTACTGTCCTCTGTCGTGTATTCTGTGTGTAATTGCTTTGAAATGCATTAAGTGGGTAATGTTGTAGCGTGCAAATACTTATTAGCAAACTGTGAGTGAGTGCAAATATTGTTGTGATGTTCACGGGAGCTACGTGGTGTGTCAGATTCTAATGTGCGGACTAAGGAGTGCTGACAATTCTTTTTTTAAACGTAAGTAATTAATTAATGTAGTTATTGATACTTACAATTTTATATCCTTACTTAAAATTAATAGATATATTTAGATAGATAGTACACAGTAACTTTTTTTAAACTTTTTCAAAATTGGACTACATTGTATGATTTAATGTTTTTTAAAATAGTTTTAAACTGTTTTACTTGCTTCTCTTTGAAACTCAATTAATGACTTCCTTTTTTCATGTTTTGTAGTCTTTGAAAATATAATTATGTAGCCAGTACATTTAAATATTTTTATTATTACCTTATTTCGCATGAGTACCTACACAAATTGGTAAGTACATAATTTGACTTACAACCATACCAGCATTTGTTGTTTAAATTTCCCGCCTAGCAACAAAAGGGTTATCGTTCCTTTTTCCGACGTTTCGACGATTTTTTTATAAGAGTTCTTAATATTAGTGACCATAGCAAACACAACAAGAATGACTGTGAAATCTCTTTCAATAACCTAGATGTTCATACTTGTACTTAGGAATAGCTCATTATCATACATTACAACAAGAAGATCATAATTTGAAAGTGCTGAATATTTTGATACCTACCGACTTTTTTATACCCATCGATTTCCAGGGATTTTCGCATTCATCAATCAAACTTTAGATCTCAGATTACTATAGCTACACCTCCTGTAGATTTATTAAATGTCATCATAATTATCAGCTGGAAGCATCGATACCTACATCCATCCGGAATTGTCCCACGGCTTGGCACAAACCTCTTCTTGAGCGAAGTATCGTTTGGGTCACTATACCATTGATTGGAACACATTCCCTGTAGAACAAAAGCTTCCTTATCTTATAAACTTATTTTATAATAAGTTCTAATTACAATCTTTAGAAAGTTTATCTGGATGAGGTTCTGATAGGGACGTGTGGGTTCGGGTACTGCGCACAAACACCAGCACATCAAGCTACCAATCCTGTCAAAGTTCAGTGATAGATTATCAACTTTATTGCTTGAGCATAAGAATGAAATTATTTGGCAGTTACGGTGTAGGTCTGTTTGCTAGCGGAACATTGCAATCCTGCATATTTGTGTCCATGTCTACCTCCCACTTGACAAGCTCTGGGCTAGTTATACGAGCCTACGTGCAATTACAGCTGAACAAGGCAATATCGCGGTCCTTGAGCACGCGTCGCAATGGCTCGAAGGATTTGCACTCAATTTGCATAACTTGACGATATCGAGATACTGGTCGCTCGTCGCTTGGTAGAATACAACATGTTGTAGCTACTCTAGTACAACAATGTAGCGCTGATGTTAAGTATGAATAGATATAAATTATATTTGATCTAGTTATCTATAGTTTCTCTGTAATATAACTGTTTTTTGAAATGAACCTTATGCCACCCGGTCGGTTAAACAAGTACCTACCTTATATTCTGCAGATATTCATTAGATTAGTCATTACACAAAAAAATACCTGACTAAAACCCATTAAGTCGAAGAAAGTCCAACTTAACTTTATACATTAACATTTTCAATCAAAGCAAACATAACCTATTAGGTATGTATAGCTAATTTGCTTTACATTGGATGGGCACAAATATGTTTTTATTAAGATTGATGTAATACATCTCCTAGAACAGTGACAGCGGGGAATCACGAGGCGTGTAGCAGTCGAGCAGCGCCTTGTTTAGCGGCAGATAGTTCCAAACTCGTAGTAGTGTGTAAATAATGGCAGGTTGTTATGTCGCCTTTGGTAGAAATGTGATCAAAATATGCCTTTTATTGCGTTTTGCACGCGGCTCCGCCTGCGTGGGAGCTCCGCGCTGCTAACTATAGCAAATTGGCCAAATAACATCATCGATTTTCATTTGATTGATGGAGATGAGAAAATCTAAACATGTCCATATCTGGAAACAATGTCTACCTAGAGTTTTTACGTAAGGAAATATAAACCTGAAAATATTATTAATGGTTTAGGGTGATAGTGAATTAAATCTTAATCAACGATGCACTGCCAGGCCAGTCTTTTAGGATACTTTAGTACTTAATTTGAATCTGCAACATAATTGTATTTATTTTTAAATGAATAAAGATTCAGTTGAAATGTAGTCAATCGCCCTTTATCCCTGACCACTCCTGCCAAATTCCGATTCCCGGTAAAGCTTGTGACTGACTCCTTAGGTACCTGTGAACTAGCGAGGAACAAGTTATGTATTCATATGAAATTCATACATTCATCATAGTAAGCAACTTCATCATCATCTTCTTGCCCTTGTCCCGTTTTATTTGGGGTCGGCGCAATATGTTTTTTTCTTTCATTCTGTCCTGTCACTCGTCACGCTATCGTTAACTCCTCTGTCTTCCATATCACTTCTCACGCAATCCATCCATATTTTCTTTGATCTCCCTCTCCCTCTCCATCCCTCCACATTTATACTAACTTACGTATACTTCAATTGTTAAATGCAAATGTACCACCACGGCTACTTCTAGCAATCAGTATCTACATAAAACAGTGAAGTTTTATTATTTTTGGCATGCGGTGTTTACCTTTAAGTAATGTTTGCATTGTACCTTATAGATTAATTGTAATTACTGTTGTTGCATGCTTTGATGTAAAACATTGTTGGTAGACCTAATAAATAATTAAATAAATAAATAAAAATAAATAAAGTCCTCGTCTCATGGACACAGGAATTACCGCAATCGCTGCCTGGAGAAGGTAAAGGAATGCCAAGAGTATTTTTTATTAGAATCTATCATGACCTTTATTCGTGTATATCTACTATTAATTAAAAAGGCTACCTACTCTTTGAGTTGTCTGCGCGACGTCGCCGCGACGCATACGCTGCTCATGAATAAGAGTCCCGTCATGACTTGAAACTAGTAGATCTTTTTACAGTTATTTCACGTCAGTAAGTCGTACTTACTAATTTTCAGTAAATTTAGTAAAGAGTATTCCTTTTTTGCATTGTTTAACATCATTCCCTTCATTATGATTGTATCCTTGTATTATGAATCTCAATAAGTTATTAGTACACACTTTCACCACATTAACTACTGACACCAGCCTAGTTCACATTACCAGTAGCCGCGACTCGATTCCCATTCTACTATTATCTGAAAATGGTCGCAATCGATTGTAAACATCTCTAATTGTAATCTCTGCCAATTTACTTATACCTAGTTAAGGCATATTTTAATGAGCTGCGTAAAATACTTTGTGTTGCCCGTGGAGTAATATAATTCCGTGGTACCTACGGAGGAGAAAGAAATTAATATTATTATGACATACTGTTGCAATGAATTCTAA